GGTGTCAACACTTTATAGCTAAGCGCTGGTCCTGTAGCCAGAAGTAGGTGGGGTTACATGTATGCTGCCATGCAATGGTGCCAGGGAAAACGATGGTAAGTATTTGAAACCGGTTTCTGTGGGCATTCTGTACACCAGTGCTGTAGAGAATACCTCCCAAGTTGCTGTATTGCATTACATTTTTTATTTTTTTGGTTTTCTACATTTAAAAAAAAAAAATTACAGCAGCTGCAGATTGGACTGGAAAGATACATTTAATATGCTATATCAGTGGTCTCCAAACTTTTTAAACAAAGGGCCAGTCTATTGCCCTTGACGTTTTAGGTGGAGCTGGACTGTGGCCAGTTTGAGTAGAAAATCTCCTGGCATCAGTGGGAGTAAAGAGAACACAGCTCAGCGAGTGCTCTATAGCCACCTCCTCCTTTCTATATGACAGTCCTATCACATGAATTGCATCACATACTCCGCTGTACCAAGAGGTAATGGTAATTTTGGTTCTTGGCACCGAAATATAGTGTTGAGGCCGGGAAAAAGTGAGTATGTGCCTATCCAATACCGTAAAACCATCAGTTTTCCTCTTGAAAGAGCAGGACCTTTGGATCTTCTAAGACTAGCAGCTTGCCCCCTTCAATAGAGCAATACACACCGTTCCTCCTCTATAATTCATGTACATGATGTATAGTGTTAAGAAAAAGTTGCATGTTTTTCATTTTTAATTTTTTTTTTTTTTTTTTTTTAAATGGGTACTTTCTAAGTTGTGGCCACAATGGTGAACATTCTCATATGGGAGCCTATTAGCTCTAACTTACAGTATTTTCAACCTACCAGACACTAACACGTATTAGTCAACTACCCTACATATCCTGTTTGGTCTTCCACCTTGTCCTGAAAATTTTGTGCTCAAGAACAAAAGGGCATAGTCATAAGTGTTCCACCACATGGAAGTTCATAGCAAGCTGCCATAGAGCTCATTGAAGGCAGCAACAGCTGAATCCAAAGATGGTGTATGAGAGCCTTCTTTGGTGGGGCTAGAGATCTGTGGCAATTGAAGCCAAAATCTGGGTTTTCTTGTCTCTCCTCCACCCTCCCCTCCAGTATTTTTTTCTTTTAAACCCTGGGGCTTAGTACTGTACATGAGCCGAGCCCATGTGATGACATACCCCCAGGCTGGTGTGTAAATGATAGGCTGGGCTTACAGGAAATGGGCAGAATGACATGTTCTGCCCTGAGGACCTTCAGCGCAGGGCTAAGCAGGAAGTTATATATGGCAATGGATCGTGGCACAGGTAAGTACAGTAAAACCTGGGATATTTTTTTTTTGTTTTGTAATGTGAAACAGGTGCGGGAATAATATTTTAAGCTGGAGCGGCTGCTGTTGCTGCTTTAGTAACACTTTCAGGACTTATTCTCCCTATCCTGTGATTGGTTTGTGAAGGAGAAGCGGCCCTGATGAGTTCATCTCTACTCTCTTGTCCTGTGCTCTTGTTCCCTGCCAGCTAATTTTGCATGCAGAACACTTGATTAGTACATAGTACTTCCCCTCCTCTCCCCAGTATGGGTGCTGCTGAATAGGGGATTAATAGGTGAGCAGGTGCACAAGAGATCTAATTTTAACGATTGATCCATTTTAAGGGTTGTAAAAGGAAAGTCTTGGGAGACTTTTACAAGTCACAGATGGCGACAATACTCTGAAATAGCCTCCAGTCTAGCATGCATTTATGTCCTATTATGTCCTGCAATATTTTATGATCCCTGCTATAAAAAGCCACTCACCAAAAAGAGTTTTCTTCCAGCTGGAAGAGCAGTGATATGCTGGTGGGGAATGTGGTAATGAATGTATTCTGTATATTACATCTGATATGTTATTGGTAAAAACAGCCTGGAAGGCATGATAAACATAGGTGTAAAAATTCCAAGTGATACTGAATTAGACATTACAGCCAGTGAGGTGCAAAAGAAGCTTTTTATTGAGCTTTAAAATAAGATTTAAGGGTGTATATACAAAAATAAGGTGTTAAATGCAAGTGTTGTACATGGCTTTTATTTCCGCTGGACATTGATAGCCGTGGTGAATACAGCTTAAGCACAGATACAGCTTTGAGTAGAAAAATAAGAAAAAATGTATATCAAATTCTATGCCTCAGATTAATGTTGTTATAAAAGGCTGTTTTTTTTTTTTGTTCTTTTTTTTAGCACATCTCACAACAATGTTAGAAACTTTCTGTACAATAAAATCCTAATCAAGAAGTTAGCCTGGCTAAAGATTTAAAGGAGAACTCTGTCGAGCACAATTTAAGCACACTATAATTTCTGAAAAACTGCAACTGTTTCTTTTAAAAATACCCGATTCTTTGTAACTCCCACACTTGCATAGACCTAAATTTTAGGTTCAGTGTGTAACACTGTGGCAGGAGAATGCTAAAGCTCTAAATCAAAGTTGAAGATATAGGACCAGTCTAAAACATACTGGCAGTGGAACTGGATTTAGCTGAAACTGACTCCACTGTGTGTGATGGCTGTGCTTGTGCCATGGATGTTAGATGATCATTTTCTGTGTTGCAGAGGCTGATGTCAGTGGGTGGTTTATGGAGGAGCAAACCCCTATCTTGTAGGAAAATAATAGTGATTAGTCACAAAAATCCATCCCAGAAAATCCTTTTGCCCCCCAAAAGTGCTCAGACATGCCCAGTCTGGAGAGGTCTTGGAGAATCTGCAGCTAGTAGATTGTATTTTAGTTTGACCATAACTGGCCAGAATGATCCTGTAGGTCAGAACTAGAGCCAGTCTTCCTTCTGCTGTACAGGGCATCTTTTAAATGGTCATTACTGAATCCACAAGGAACACTCTCTGTAACCAGCACAAACATTAACAGCTGCCTAGTCTAAAAAAGGACTTATTGATTTTTTGGCCTTTCTAGTATCGCATTACCAGCAGGAGAACCAAGAGAAATACGTACAATGAATGCACCATAATGTCAAGGTAATATCATTCACAACCTGCCTTATGGACTACATACCAAGGTTGTCATCCTCTGGCTCACTGCTTGACGTAAGTCAATGACCAAGAACAGTTAAGCAAGCATTTTAAGGAGAAATTTTAAAATGTAATTGTTTATTTAATAAGCCACCTTTGACCTGGGAACTGGCTCCATCAATGCTTAATCCAGCAAAGTTAAAAAAACGTGTAGTTTCTTAAACAAGTCAGTATTAGTATCGCCCATACCTGTCGTCATGGAAGGTTCACAACCAGCCTTACGGACGACATACCAAAGTTGTCTTCCTCATCCTCTTGCTCACTACTTTTGATATGAGTCAATAACCAAGAATAGTTAAGCATTCACTTTAAGGAGAAATCTTAAATGTAATTGTTTATTTTAAAAAGCCACCTTTTGACTTGGGTTCTGGCTCCATCAATGATTAATCCAGCAAAGTTAACATACTTGTAGATTCTTAAACAAATCAGTATTAGCATCACCTATACCTTTCATGGAAGATTCACATTCTTTGCTCTCCTTATGTTTCAGAAACCTTTCATTTGCTCTTCACCAAATACATTTACACTGGATTATCAGTTTTAGTAATATTAGTGCTGTGGGATTTTAAGTGGCTATATGATTCCTGATAGTATTGCAGCCAAAATAAAAAACTGAAAAATCAGGACAAAGGACATAATGTAGTTAGTAGGATGCAACCCTTCTGCTGATACCTCTTCTTTTAGGAGAAATCCTCCTCTGTACCCTCCCCCCCACCCCAATCAATTATCTGCCATCCTCTATTCTTAGATTGTGGTCCATACATTATTAATATACAGTATAAAGCGCCAATAGTTCACTCAGCGCTGTACATTACAAAGGGACGCTATAGTGCAGAAAGGGTGGGATCCCTTGCTGAAACCCTGTTACAGCCCCTTAGTTGTGTTAACCCCTGCTGCACCAGAAGATAAAGGTTGGGGCAGGGCGAAGGGGTATTTCTACTATAAGAAGAGGTATCAGCACTAGGGACATATCCTACTAACTGTAATTTATGCCCCCTGTACTGATTGTTCTGCGGTTTTTTTTGGCTGCACCTAGCCTTTAAGCAATATTCGGTGTTATGCTGAGATGTACTGTATATACTTGAAGGGAGGACTGGGCAGGGGCTGGGGGCAAAAAGGCATATGCATCACAGCAGGCCATCACTTGCAAGACATGTTAGGTTGGGGGTCTTGAGAGGAGATATTTAAACAAACTGAAAGTGCAAGTGAAAGAGGGAGCAGCACTGGCTTCCGTTACAGTTTTCATATGAATGATGCAGAAAGCTACCAAAGGAGCTGGTCCTGGAAGATGTGTCACAATACATCATGTCCTCTAGTAACAGCCACTTATCACCATGCCTTTCATTATGTCCAGTATCATAACCAATTTACATGGTACATGTTCTCTCACCAAGAAAAATCTGTCTCTGCTGTGAAAGTGCTAATTGGTTGTGTTTGCCTCCCAATGCCAAATGCTCTGAGTCCTTGCCTGATGCTCCCTTGTGTATTTTCCTGTAAGGAAGCACTACATTTACAATGTATTAAACATAAAATATAGTGCTACAAAATAAAGGGCACTGCATATAGCTGGCAGACACCCTCAGGTGCCACATTGTACCCAAGCAGAGCCCTAAAAACACTGAATTATTGAGTTTGGGATATGTATACACATTTCTACTCCTCCATCCCAGCTATATCACAAGGCCGGGACATTGGCACATGGAAGGTAGAAGGCATACCTAGCTTTATGGAAAAGATTCTCATGGTTGGGCAGACTCTGTAAATATACCATGTAACACTGGAGGGTAAATGTCAATCAACTACAGTGTTACTTTGCTTTTTAGGATCCTACAGACATATTTAAAGTACAGTCTGAGCACTTGAGTATACGTACTCATCACCTAATGCAAATATTTGTATCTGAACTACTTTTAAGCAAAGCAATGTGAAGCAATCTGTAGCATTGTCCTAACACACCCCAAATAAATCTACAAGTCTGCTGATTCAGGCACATTGAACATTGCCCACCCCCGAGGTGCTCGGTTGAAGCTGGGTCTACAGAACATGAGTTGTTGTCCGCTGGGTGATTCTTCAATTTGAGCTTGAATCTCCTCAAAAATATAGGGAGCTTCTCCACCATTAACTACAGATAGACTTCCAAAAGGTATTGGAGCTCTGGAGAAAATAAATAAGACAAAAACCTTATTAATAAACATTAATTTTCATTTAACATGCATGTTCATGAATCAAAACAATTCAAATTTGCAAAAAAAAAGTGATTGTGACCTGCTGTGCAGGGCCCAAAACACCCTGAGCATTTGTGTACAGCCTGTCAGGGCTCCTTTACATGTGACGCAAGATTTACCACCATCTGGAATTTCCTCCTAGACTTCCATTTTATATCACCCTGTAATGATGTGTATTTGTAAAATATTTTGGGTGCAGGACCTAACCGGGATGTTAGTTTGTGGTGCCTAATGCTTGGTGCTGCTATACTTGCCAAAGGACAACTTGCAGAGAAGTATGGATGCTGCTATAGTTGGCCTCTGTAAGTTTCTTGGATTTCATGCTAATCCAACGGCTCCAATACTTTCAATGTCACGGACTTGGAACAAGTATGAAGGTTGGGAGTTCTGACTTCACTCTGACTTTGCAAACCTGCATGCTGTGTTCTGGGTCATTGTCTTAAAGCCAGAGACAGGCATGCATTTAGCATTTTCCAAAGAAACCTGGCAATGGAAGTGACACTAAACTCTAAATTTAAAGAAATGTTGTCAGGAAAGGATCAGGAAACAAAGGAATCTTGCTCACGGGCACTCAGTGGGTGCTCATGCATGAACAGCGGTGTGCATTGGCACCAGGCAGGCTACTTAAACTGTACTAGTCCCTGATGTCACTGCCGTTTGGTCTATATCGTTCCTGTTAACCTGCTATCTGTGTTCTGATCATCTGTTGCTGACCCGATCTGTTTAACCACACTTGCATTCAGCCCGCATTGACCCTTGGCTTGCTTCTGGACCACATCTCTGCCTGTTCCCACTGCCTGCTCCTACCTACCTTACCGTTGCCAAGCTCGGCCTGGACTCTGACTATTCTTCTGTCTGTCACCTATCTGATCTACATGCCAGTTCCCAACCTGGCTTGCCTGACTATGCTATCATCTGCACTCTGGCATCTGCCAGCCAGCTGTTCTACTGCCTAGAATCTACAGTCCTGCCTGCAACCGGTGCAGACAGATGACGCATCTGTTTCTGGCATTCACAGCCTACTAAAGCACCTGTTGCCTACTGCAAGCAATCTGTCAGCCTGCGTTCTACTGCCCAGCATCTCTAAGTCTTGCCTGCAACAGGATGCACGACACATCTGCTTCTGGCGGCCACAGCCTGCTGTCCTACCTACCTTACCGTTGCCAACCCCGGCCTGGACTCTGACCATTCTTCTGCCTGTCACCTAGTATTTGACCCACCTGCAAGTTCCCAATCCAGCTTGCCTGACCCTGCTATCATCTGCACTCTGGCGTCCACAGCCTGCTGTCCTACCTACCTTACCGTTGCCAACCCCGGCCTGGACTCTGACCATTCTTCTGCCTGTCACCTAGTATCTGACCCACCTGCAAGTTCCCAATCCAGCTTGCCTGACCCTGCTATCATCTGCACTCTGGCGTCCACAGCCTGCTGTCCTACCTACCTTACCGTTGCCAACCCCGGCCTGGACTCTGACCATTCTTCTGCCTGTCACCTAGTATCTGATCCACCTGCAAGTTCCCAGCCCGCTTGCCTGACCCTGCTATCATCTGCACTCTGCATCTGCTGTCCTACTACTCAGCACTTACAGCAATGTCTACATCCAGTACAGAAGGACGACGCATCTGATTCTGGCATCCCCAGCCTACTGTCCTACTGCTCCACATCCCTGGTCCAGTCTGTAACTGGTACAGATGGACGACTTACCGGCATCTGGTATCGCAGATCTGTCAGGCACTCATGCCACTCTCGTCTCATCTACTCTATCAGGGGTACTGAGTAGGAGGCGTAAGAGAATGCCTTCCTCACCAAATCAGGCTCCATCACTAGGTATGTGACAGTTATTTAGGTATGTATTCTTAACTCAGAAAAGTATCTTCTATAACTCTGTCTCCAAATCCCCAAATTCCATTTTTTTCTGCTGTATTTCCTGTTAAGAGGGGTAGCTACGTTCCTTCTACGTATTCCCACTGTACATAGGTACGGAGCCATCCTTTTGCTTGCTCCCAAGATGGACTATAGTCTATTGACTATAGGATGCATAGAGCAGGAGACATGACCGCAGCCAAAGCACACTGCTTGTTCCAAACAAATGGAAGCAAGGAGCCCACAGAGGACATTACAAGGAGGCAGAAAAACACAATAAGAAACTATTTAATGAAAAATGGATTACAAGGTTTTTGAGTGGTGGATGTGCATAGATTATTTTTGAAGAATAAGGATAGTGTCAATTTAAAGTAGTATGTGTTAAGTTTTTAGTATGGGATAGATTGGGATATATTTAAAGCCCTCCTGTGTTGTTTTTTTTTGCTGCTTGTGACCTCGTTTGGATGATTTACCTTCATATACTGACTTGAAGATGCAACAATAAAAGGAACTCTTTATGAAGATGGGTGATTCTGCACCCTAGCTACAACTTAACCTCCTCTCCAGTCCAGTCTTCTGAAATGGGTTGACTTAGGCTCCCTCTTTTGCCAAGGCATTTGGTCATTTGATTTCTGCTCAAGAGGAGAATCAGCAAATCTGAACTTCATGTCAAGGTGACCAAATGCCTAGTATTTTAGAAATGTAAGAGCCTGGGAAAAGCATTTTTCTGCTCTAAAGTGTTACTAAACTCACAACCATAAAATCAGTCTGTATATGTAGTAAAGCATGCTTGTTATACTCACTGTGGAACCTAAGGGGTTAATCCTCTGCATTGTGTAAAAAGGCTGTTTGATCCTGTCTTCCCTGATCCTCCCTTTTCTTCCAGTGCCCTCTCTTATCTCCTGATAAGATATATTGTGTGAAGTCACTCTGCACATGCTCAGTTTGGTGTGTATTGCTAGAGAGGTTTTTTTTTTTTTTCCTTGGGAGGGTGCATGTGATCAACACAGGGCCAATCAGCACTGTCCAGACAGAGGTCAGGGGTTCTGCAATCCTCCTAGAGCAGAATGAAAGCTCCTCCTACAAGCTTTAACATATGCTCTGCTGGATACTGATAGAAGTCACAAGCCTGCTCTAACTGCTGATGAGAACAGGTATTTAGCAGTTTATATTTACTAAAATAATTGCATTTCCATGTTCTGTGTACTGTGGGAGACCAGATATAGTGAATGCAGGGTCCAGGGTTTAGTAACACTTTAAGCATTTCAGCTTTGCTATTGCACTTCAATTGTACATCCCAACAAGATTATTAAAACATTTAATATAGCATTGGGCATAGGCCCACATTAATGCAACCTTTTGGCACTCTCATAGTGAAGAATCATACACTTACCTGTTATGGGTACGGTGTGAGACATTTAATGGTGTTTTCGGAGGTGGTGGTAATGATTCATCGGCAGGTATGACATGCTCCACAGAGTGGCCCTCGGCCCAGGGGCAATAGTAAGGGATGGCTGTGTTGTTTGAACTTCTCATATGGCATCTCCTTCAAAGGTCCAGAGTAACCTGGCATAAGAAAGACAGGTACTCAATATACAATATCATAATCAGGGTGCTTTTATTAAAAATAAAAAAAATTTGAGAGGAGCCAGAATATTGCATTCACGCAGGTTTCTGGATAGTCCTAGTTTCTGTGGTGAAGCCAATGGAATTCATTGGCAAAAACGTTAGGCGCAAGGCACTTTCCTCCCAAACTCCACTGTTGGGATTGCGTTAGATCTCTTTTTCCTACCACAAACCATACCTCCACTCTGTTAACACACACTAAACAGATTCAACGATGATACAGTCATTTGTCTCTGACATGGACATTTGCCCCTCTAGGGAAAAATCCTTCTCCCTTTAATTGAAAGCTATGTTAGACAGAGGGTGCGAGAGCGTAGTACATTTCCTTTTACTGGAGGGGAGCTGTGCATATGTTTGCCATGAAGGAAAGAGTTTATCAATGCTGGGACTTATTTTGAGGACTACTTTAGATGACAGTAGGGAAAATGTATGAATATTTGGGAGTGGACAGGGGTCTTCGGATGTAGACAATGTTAGATGCAATACCATGTGGATCATGGGTGTGGTTATACCAGACCGACGTGGAACCATGCAAATCATCCATCCAACACTTTCACCTTTCACGCCTAATGAGGACCAATGGAGACACCATATAAATCCATGAATTGAAATGGCCAGCACATCAAAATAGTAGATCTAAAATTTTTACTGAAATCTTAATTGCAATACAGCATGAACTATGTTTTGCTATTGAGATCTCGGTAAAAATGTGACAACTTATTTTGGTGTGCTGGCCATTTCTGTTCCTGCTTGGATCCAGACTTGTTCCATATACCCATCTATTGTAGAATTTATTCACTCTTACCTGGAGCAATCCCTCCTGGATTCAACTGCATCTTCATCTGCAAGACCTTGGCAGATTTCTTAGGGATATTTGGTGGGGTCTGGTTTCCTCCTGGGACTATGTGTATCTCTGAGCGGAAGTTCTCTTTCCCATCAACCCCTGCCGAGCCATTGACAGCTGTCTGATCAGCATTCAGGCCATGTACATTGCTACCTGCCTAATAAATAAAGAGTCATTTTATGACCTGGATTCAGTAATCCCACGCAAAAGTGACCTTCTGTGAAAAAATAATAATGTTCACAAACATTTGTATACTGTACATATATAGTAATCCAGACCTAACATAGATGGCATTTATGTCATTTTGCTGTGCAGTTTATTGTCCCGTTGTAGCTGCCATGCAGGATAAAAGTAGCCGATCTCATCTGGATTAACAGTACTGTATGCCAAGTAGTGGATAAGTGTAATTTAAACTACAGGAAAACCTACTTCCTCGCCTCTATAACATACAGTTAAAGTACATCCTAACTCAGGGGTGCTCAGCCTTTTGAAGAAAGGGCCACTTAAGTGATTTAGTAACCGGTCATGGGCCACAATGAAGTTAAATTGTTAAGAATTTCTAATTTTTTTATTTTGAATAGCATAATGAACATTTTCCTCCTGCAGCAGCTGAATCCCGGCGGGAGGTGGAGGAGGAGGAGAAGCCGTCTTTCAGCAGTTGCAGGAAGAAAATGGAGAGGATATGCTGCCTTCACTGCCCCTCCTGTCCAAATGTAAAACAGAATGTGACAGGGAGGCCGCATGGGCCCCCTGGAGCATGGGGCAGGGTTGATTTTGTGACTCCTGACACTACAACAGTGGTTGAAGGGGGGGTTTGTAAAAACACGTATTAACAATGGGGTTTTTCTGCCCCCCCAGCCACAAATGTAAAGGAGCCCTTACTGTGCAGTGCCTTCTGTAAGGCTGCTATCACACTGATGAGCTGCAGTTTACCAGCACCGCGGGTATAGCACAGTGCACCTGAGGATTAGCTGTGATTTGACATAGACTTCTATTATATCTTGCGGGTGTTGTGTACTTTTTGAAAGTGCACTAAAACTCCTGCATTCGTGATATAATAGCTCAGTGCAGCTAACCCCAGGAAACCTGCAGGTGCACTGTATTGCACCCGTGGATCAGAGTGAGGGCAGCCTAATAGTTGTTAAACCTTTTATAGGTGCTAATATGCCCATTACAAAAGCACAATGTATGTTTTGTATAATACACTGACCTTTTCCTCTTCCAGCTTCTGCTAGCATCACTCTCCAGACTGCTAGAAAGGTCCCAGGAGAAGTGCACTTGGCATCACTCTGCCTGCGACAGGGGCCAGCACTACAGAGAAAGCATGGCTCTACGTGGCTCCTGCTCCCTCCGCTGCCTGCACTGGCTCGATGCACTCTGATGCTCTGGGATGGCAGGTCGGCAAGCCCAGATTGCGATCAATGGGTTGCTGACCCCAGGCATGAGCTTGCCTGGTTTGAGGTTGAGGGTTACATCAGAGGGCTCCTTGGGCCACAGGTTGAGCACCCCTGCCCTAACTGAATTTAGCTTGTAAAACTGTATCACAAACCACTGCCATGCTTGTTTTGCAGTAAAATAGTTTTCCATTTTTTTGTCATTCTTCGTTGGATTTCAGTACTGTTGATCTCCTGCAGCCTCTTTGCAACCACCTCCGGTCAAGTGTCAACATACCCTCCAGCAACTGCTGCATGTCATTTCCCAGCATGGGTTTCCTGTTGGTGGTAACAATAGACCATGGCTGGACAATCTGTGTCACCACCAGCTGTGACAGAGTGATAACATATGAGCCTAATTCAGGAACAGGCACCCCATATTGTCTTGTCACCCTCTTACTAGAGATTGTAATGACTAGATTTCCATATTCTATCATTGTGAATGTAAACCTTATATGTGGAGGGATAGTGGTCTCATTTCCACAACCTGTCTAGTGCTAGGATATAGTGACCTGGGGGGTGGGGGGGCTTGTGTTATGTTATTAACTTTTAACAAGCATATGAGATTGTTAGAAATTATACATGTTTACACATTAGGGGGTACCTTTGATATACTGACCAGGAGGTATTTGTAGTGATTTGTTGTAATAAAGGTACAAAATAAATTCTGTCCTATTACAGGCTGAGGAGGGACAATACCTGTAGGTATTACTTAATTGTAGCAGAGAAAAAGCAAGTCTCCTGCCCTGCCAGACAGGACTGTGCTGTGTGGCAGAGCTGTGCAAATCTCAGGACTGGATGGATAAATCCTTGTGCAGATAAGACAACTACTGTATACTGTATGTGTATTTCATCACGGTATATAGTGGTTTGCCCATATTTCAGCTTTAAGAGTCTCCTTTACATTACAAAAGTTAACTTACATGGACACGATCTGCTGGGTATTCAAATGTAAACCTCTGAACGCGCTTCTGACGCTCCAAATACATACAAGAACCACGATTGCGCTGTAAAGTGAGTTCTTCCATCATTACATCTCGGGGGACGCTGACCTTCTTACCAAGGTCCAAAGTAGGACCTACAGCAACAGAAACAACAAATTAGAAGCCATGCACACTAACTAGACACCTTAAGCTGTAGCTAATATTATTGGGCTTTTAGTTTGGCGGGCTTTAAAAACCTTACTGTCTATAGTTTTAGTGTGTTGACCTTCAATTTGCCATGCAAGTCAATTCAAAAGTAGTCCTCCAAAAACGCAACTCAATGGGTATAAATGGACATTAAGGTGTTTATAATCCCTTACACCCCGGTCACATCAAACCCGACGTTGAAATTGTGCGACTGTCAGTGAAGTCGCATGATTTCAGTGATGGGTGACCTGCCGATTTCAGGTGCGATTTTCAAGACATTTGACACAGATGTCTATGCAGATGGCACCAAAAATAGTGCATGTACTACTTTAGCAATCGGTGCGGTTCCGACTTGGTCTGCTCTAATTGTGGACAATAGGGTGCAACTTGGTGTGCCAAGGTGCAAGCCAATTTGAATCCAGTGTGACCAAGGCCCCTTTCACAGGGGTGGATCTGCTTGCTCAGCAGGGAATATGTCTGCTGATCCCCACTGAGCAAGTGGATGACAGTTCAGTGTCTGCTCCAGTTATGCAGAGCGGACAAAGACACAGCCTGCTGTCCTTTATGGACTCTAGGATGGAAACGGACCGCCTGTCCATTTCCAGCTGACTGTCATCTGATCTGCCAGACGGATGGGGAACGGATCTCCATCCATCTGTTTTTAGCGGACAAGGAACGGATCCCCATCCATCTGTTTTTAGCGGACAAGGAACGGATTCGCATCCATCTGTTTTTAACGGACAAGGAACGGATCTCCATCCATCTGTTTTTAGCGGACAAGGAACGGATCTCCATCCATCTGTTTTTAGCGGACAAGGAACGGATCCCCATCCATCTGTTTTTAGCGGACAAGGAACGGATCCCCATCCATCTGTTTTTAGCGGACAAGGAACGGATCCCCATCCATCTGTTTTTAGCGGACAAGGAACGGATCCCCATCCATCTGTTTTTAGCGGACAAGGAACGGATCCCCATCCATCTGTTTTTAGCGGACAAGGAACGGATCCCCATCCATCTGTTTTTAGCGGACAAGGAACGGATCCCCATCCATCTGTTTTTAGTGGACAGGATCAGATTCAGGTGGGTGTAAACAGACACGTGTCCGTTTACACCTGTCGCTCCATAGAGAGCAATGGAGTGTCCAATCGGGCCCGCTTGAAAAACAGTCAGGCGGACCCGATTGGTCTGTTCATGTGAAAGGAGCCTAATAATGAACTCTTTTTTGTTGTCTTTTGGTCTATTAAATATACGATTGAAAGTGTTATATCTGTTTGACAAGTTCAACCAAATGACCTGTAAATAGTTGGTAATATATGGTTGCTGGAAATCGTGTGAACTGATAACTTCTGTGCTGCAGGTTATCAATTACATTGTTCTTTGAGAACTTTAGGACTACACCTCCCTATGTTATAAACAGTAAGAGAAGGTAATATATGGTTGCTGGAAATCGTGTGAACTGATAACTTCTGTGCTGCAGGTTATCAATTACATTGTTCTTTGAGAACTTTAGGACTACACCTCCCTATGTTATAAACAGTAAGAGAAGGCAGGGTTCTGCTGTCCTGATACAGAAGGAGGTATGAGCACTGTCATCCTGGGACTGAATGTGTTACTGGCAGAATGATCAAAGTGAGGATAAAGGTTAAAAAAAAAGCTTGAAAAAGGAAAACTAATGCAATCATCACATCCAAGGACTGATAAGTTCCAAAATATTTTTGTATTTGGGTTTAGATACACTTTAATGCATGAGTTCTGATGTAAGCTAGCTCTTCTATGCATTCATCAAACTAAACACAGTCTGATCTCTAGATGGCAGTATTTATCTTTCTAAAATTCAGCTGTAAGCTCCATTCTCAGCTGAACAGAATACATTCTGGCTATAGATTGTTTCAGACAAGGCAATATATTTCCTGCATCCCTGAATTGAACAGCACCCTCCAAAATTTGAAGGGGTCATCAAAAATTAGGTGAACAAATGTCTTCTTATATACAGGCACATGTGTAGAAGAACATATTTGTACCAAATATATACAGTATATATCTTGCTAGTTTCTACATCTGAAAAGTTGCTGGTTGGGTCAGCTATTTACATCACAATACTAGCCGGAACAATTTTGTTTTGGTAGAAAAAAAGTCTTGGTAGTATGCGTTTAATAATACAAACTGTACTTCAAAGTAAAAAGAACAAAAAAATCAACCGCTGATATCTATTTGTATTATTGTTAAAGATGATATGCTATAGCACTTAACAAGAAATATTGAACCATTTATATCATTACCTATCTAGTAGCATTTAAAGTCCAATCCACATATCCCCATCAAATTCCAATATATGAATATTTCGATTTTTGGTAGCTGCTGATAATGTCTTGTATCTCTCTATCGAAAGGTATTGCAGTGATGCTAATGTAGAGGTCAGTACGCTAAAGAAGGGCATGAGGTTTATTTGTTTTTCTTTTGTTTGTTTTTTGTAGAATTCTTTTCATTGAGTTTAACAGAAGGTACAAACAGCTGTACAAAAGTAATGCAAAAGGCAGTATAAACAGTAACAGTATATTTGCCTCATCAACCATGCACCACCCAAGGGTCTCCACCAAGAGGAGGGTAGAGATCCAAGACCCCCCACCCCACCCCACACACAAACACTATCCCACACTATAGGGATATTTAATACATATCCACTCCCCCCCCACTACACTGCATTATAGGGATACATAGTACATACCCACTCCCATACCCATCAGGAAAAGTAATCAAAGGAAACATCTGGTGGAACACATCCCCATGAATGACATCATTCAGTATTGTACTTGCAAAAAACTCTAGCTAACCTCACTCATCCCCCAACAGCTGAGAGTCAGAGTACCTTCTGATAGACAAACATAGACAGATACATCAGGCATCATGAAATCGGCAATAGAGACACAGAAATTTAGCCAGAAACTGTAGCAGTAGATGAAAACCACCCACCCCACACTTTGTCAAACTTGGCAAAGGCTCCTTTACTCGAATAGGGGGATTTTTTTTTATAAAGGGACAACTGTATTTACTAAAGCCTTCCAGGTCACCAGAGTCAGTGCAGAGGATTTCTTCCATGTCAGAATAATTAATTTTGCGCTGTAATTCCCTCCACTGTAGATAGGTTTTTTTGTGTGTAGTTAGAGGCTTGCTAAAACCCTGGGTGTGAGTCAGCAAGGTTACTTTAGGTTAGAGCTGGAGGGCTCTACAGGTCAGTCCTCTGGTACCTCTCCCTGCTCTAGAGACTTAGAGAGGTTTCTAGAAGCCAGTGGGGTGAGGAGGGGCTGATCTGCATATTTATGGGAGTTTGGCCAATCCCAGGCAAAAGGCCTCATAGTGTGGCTGGATCATGTGGCCTCATAGTGTGGCTGGAAATATATAGGGCCCAGTCCTCTTTATGCTGGAGATGCTCCACGCCATGAATATGAGAGAGCCTGGCCAGCAGGGGAGTGGAAGCTTAAGTGCAGAAGTGCTGCTGGTGTGTAGCCTGGGGGGTCCTCTGTATTCTGTAAACATTTTTAGTTAGTTATACAGAGGACCCTGGATGTGGGACTGTGGCTTACGCATGTATTTGCAAACGTGTGCAAACAAAACCCTCTGTTTTTTTAATGCATATTGTTAGGGCCAAATTGGTTGTTTCGCAGGCTGGCTGGTAAATGTTGCTGGGAAATCTTTTGTTTGTTTGCGATGTGCATTGCCCTTCCATGTTCACCTTACTGCAAAGGCTGGTTATAGCTTGGGATAGTTGCCATTTTTTGTGATGAGATTTTCATTTGGGGTCTGAAGAAGGTTCATTTAAGGGGATGAAGTGCTCCTTGAAAAGACTGTGTGCTGATCTAATTTTTCAGCTTTTTTCCCTGTACATAAGAAATTTGTCCTCTAAGTTATTTCAGCTCCATTGGGAATCCCATATACCCCCAGGCCCCAACCACGTTAACCCCTAATAAAACAACAAACACAAGCTCATGGACTGCTTACTGTCTTTGGATACAAGAGTGGAAAATGCATGTTTTTCCTGGCTGTGCAGAGCTTAGGGGGACCCAAAACTCAGTGGCTCCTGCAGGGGTAGTACTACTAACAGAGTGAGAAGAGTACAGATTGCTTTTTTGGTAGCTAGGGGCTCGACTAGGCTTAACAAACATACTTCAACCAAAAGGGCAATGGAGATGGAAGTGACTGAGGTGATACATGTCAAAACCGCCTGCCGAAAGGGTTTGACAACAGGACATTCTCAAAATAGCTAGCGTGGAGCATCTCCAGCATAAAGAGCACTGGGCCCTATATATTTTGGCCAGTCTAGCTGGGGTGAAGTAAACGCTCTGTAAGAATCTGAAGTGTATCAAGATGAAAACTAAGCAAGTGAAAGGGGCCTCCTAAATATCATTCCAGTCATCACGTTCCAGATCGGGAGCCACAGCATCCCACACCAATTTACACTGTCTCAGCAGTTTAACTATTTCTGGGAAGAGGTCTTAAGGATGTGAGGTCTGGTCCTTGAAACGCGTTGACATAATCTTTCACCTGATTTTACATTGGAATAAACCTCTATCAGGACTATAAGCTGGAAGTGCGAGTAATTGTATCTGGCTGCAGAGGAGGAAGGAGTGGCAAAAGAGCACTGGTAAGGCAAGCATAAGGGGGTAGGGGGAAAGATGACCTTACCAGAGACATGGAGGAGAATTTACAAACACTGGAGAAGCCAGAATCTAGAGCAGCTGTGCATGGCAACCAATCAGATTCTATCTTTTATTGTCAAAGCTAACTGAATAAGCTGAAAATATAAGCTGATTTGTTATTATGCACATCTGCTCCATATTTTGTCTGCTCTAGTTTTAGTAAATCCAACCCATGGGCAAAGTGATGTCTCTTTAAAACTTGACCTTCAGGGGCTGAACAATCAGTTTTTCTACCACTAATACTAGATGGTTTGAAGGTATTGGCTGCTCCTACCACAGTTTAGGTAGAAGATCTGGTAATCTACCAGTACTTTATAGGGTTTTAGGAGGAAACAAGGACACTTGGAGTAAAGCCATAAAAACATCCTGGTAGGAGCTGATCTCAAATTGTAGGTACAGTAAAGCCTAAAGTCCTCTGGGTCACATCTGAGCCAGGACTCAGAAGCTCACATGAAAACCTCTTCTAGCTTATCAGCATGTAAGAGGGGCTTTGCAGTTGGCTAGTTTTGGCACCCAAGCACAAGGCCCTATCCACATTCCAGCCTTGCTAGAACATACTCCCTCTTGCTCAGCCCGTCCCCTCCTCCATCTTGTGCCCTGTTCCTTGCTGTAGGCCTCCTCATGACATTCCCAACCATAGACCTTTATATCCAAAGAAGGAATGTCCACACAATAAAAAATTTCATTGCACTTTACTGATGTTGTTCAGGGAATGGCAAGACAGTCACTTGATATACACAGTCAATCACATAAAGTGGAAGATCCACGGTAGCCTCAGGTGAAAGCACATGCCTTGTCTCACAGCCATCTCCCTACACTTTCTCTTCTGCCCAGGGTCATAAATACTCGCAGGACTGTGTTGTTTGCAGACACCTCCTTGCTGGATGCAACTCTCCTGGTAACCCTCCAGGTAATCAGCCTCATACAGTGACCTCCAGCTTGACCTAAAAGGCCTTCTGCAATCCACCCTAGCCCCCACCTCCTTAAGGGACAGAATATTTACAGCTGGCTCCTCCTGCTTACAGGTCCACTCCACCTGACCTCCTGCCCTGTCCAGGGCCTAAGTGTGTAGATGACATTTTCACAGATGTGGGGTGTATGGCTCCCATGCCCTAAGTCTGCTGTGCAGTTGTGGACTAACCATTTGGAAACTCGGGGCCCGGGGTCAGTAGGGGGCCCCATGAGATGCCCCAGGTACCTTTTTCATAGGCTTTTTTGAGTTTGGGCAAGGACACAGGGACCCCATGATCCCCTATTGCCCGGGGGCCCCATGAGTTGTCAGTCCGCCCCTGCTGCTGTGTCCCCACCATAGCTTATATACATGGGTGCTGACTGACTGGCTGGATCTGCAGAATCTAAACCAATGTATTGAAATGTTCTTCACCACACTCCAAGGAAAAAATACAGCTAGAGCTACAAAATCAATCAATCTCTCTGTCTCTCTCTCTCTCTCTCTCTCTCTCATGATCACTCAGTGAGATAATAAATTGAAATAATTCACATTCTCAATAAATTTCTTGTAAATTTAATGGCAATGGCAGGTTGCTGGGTACCCTAAAAATCTAATGCTGTCCATACAACTTGCAATGATTAATCCATCTCTATTCAGTCTCCATTAAATCTACCAAAACTAGTGTAGTAAATAGTTGAAGCCCCACCTAAATAATCCAGTCCATTTTACTTTAGTCAGATACCCTTTTGTCCTGCATAATGGTCTGTACAACACAAGAAGATTGTTCAATAGGATTACAAGGTGCATGGCCAGGCAACTAGCTAGGTTGCTTCTGTTTTATCCCACCATTGGTTACACGTGTAGTGTCATGATTGGGATAAACTGAATTATTTGCCCTACACTCTTTAATGTTCAGACACCCCAGACATAAATGGTACTCTTGTTTGAACAACCCCTTTAAGAATTCTCAAACTCAGATTGCTAAATGCTCACCTTCCCCTCTTATTTCTCGAACTATTGCAGACGCCAGACCTTTCCTCTCCTTCACCAGATCTGCATACGTGGGAAACATTCTCCTGGCTAGAAAGAGAAAAGAATAATTATACCACAAGGATTTCATGTAATCCCCTTATTTTCTTTTAGATAATTTAATATTTCAACTGCACATCTGAGAGACTTAGGAGAAGAGATTGGAAAGGGATGATAGCTGTTTATGTCTGTGCTAGGCTATAGGTTAGGGGTTTGTAAAGTCTCAGACTGGAGACTGGAAGTCGTGTGAGAAAAGCATATTATAGAATAAATGTGGTTATATAAAGACGTAGTTGAAGGAGTATACTTGTCATACACTGTAAATTCAAAAGGGCCATTCTCCTCTATTCTGCAAGATAGCTCTTACTGAACCTCTACTGGGTTTGAATAAACTGTACATTTTACATTTGCCTATAAGGCCCCTTTCACATGGGGCAGACCTGTCAGCGGATCAGCAGACAGATCCCCCGTGTGAGCAAGCTGATGACAGGTCCAAGTCCGCTCCGCTTGTGCAGAGCAGACACAGACATAGTCTGCTGTCCTCTACAGGCAGACGGATGGAAATGGACTGTCTGTCCATTTCCATCCAACTGCCATCTGATCCAATCCAACAAATGGAAGCGGAACGGATCCCCATCCATCTCTTTTGGCGGATCGGATTGGATGTCATTGGGTGTAAGCAAACACGTCTGTTTACACCCGCCACTTCATGAAAGTTCCGATCAGATCTGCCTGAGAAACGGGCAGGCGGACCCAATCGGAACATCTGTGTGAAAGGGGCCTTAAACAATAGTCATGTAAAAACCTTGTATATGTACTACCAATTTTTTTTCTTAGTTTTGAATGGAGTTGGAAAGGATTAGAAATCTTGTCTGGTTTTAATGCTATCCAGGGCTCTGTTAGAGAGATTTGTCGCCACTTCGTAATGAGTCCTTCCCTGCTTACAATGTTTACCAAACAGGAAGTGAGGGAGACTCCCCAGCAGCAATACAGACAGAAAGGAACAAGCAACCAGAGCAGAGTGCGCAGACTAAGGCCGGCTATACAGGGGACGATATTCAAACGATTTTTGTTCGAAAATCGGACCTAAGAATAATTGCCCAATTTTCGCTTTGCAGTGGGGCAATGGCACTGGCCAATTTTCGTGGTTCCTCCCCAGTTCGTTTATCGGGCATGCTGGAAAATTTGTGAAAAACAACCGATTTTCAAAATCATTAATGGCACCAAACGAATTACAGAATGAAAAATGTTTTCGATTTTCGACCCATGTATGGCCTGCTTTAGTATAGCGGGTACTGTGATATTTATTGCAAACTAACAACTCAAATTTAGTAAAATCAAAAGAGCTTATCATAGTTCTCACATGTGAATATGGACACCCCGGTAGTGGTCCTTATATTTCTGGTAGTAATCAGAGAGACAGCAAGGGGGCACTAGACTGTGTACAGTAAGATAGAAGAATGGACACAGCACACACAATTGGTAACTCACTCAAATTGTGTAGACATGCACATGAATGGTATGCTAATTTGCCAGGCACAGGTACTCCTGCAGCTTGGGTCGAAATTCCAGGATCCAAGGAGCCCCCTCCACCCTTTGTTACTGTGGGGATAGAGTTGGGTGTCCAGGGTAACACCTCTTTTTCAAGCCAGGTGGCTAGAAAAAGAGGTGGTAACTTTGATATGCATAGCCATGCCCCCTTTGACATCAATTCAGGTTTTGCAATTTCCTGTCCCCATCTGTGCTCCACAAACCCCCCCCCCCCCCCCCCCCCCCCCCCATGCTGCCTCCTGCTTTCTCTAGAGGCTGCTTGATTACCCTGGCTATCCATCTCCACCCCCACAGCAGCGTCTCCATCTTGGAATCCTGGGATTCTGACACAAGCTGCAAAAGTACCTGTGACTGGCACCTTAGCATACCATTCATGTGCATGCCTACACAATTTGAGTGAGTGGCCGTGTCCATCCTTCTATGTTACTGCACTTAGTCTGGCACCTCTTTGCTGTCTCTCTGATTATTACAGGAAACATCAGGACCACTGCCAGGGTACCCATATTGACAACCCTCCACGGATCTCTCCTGGTTGGGAAAACCATCTGAGAACTATGATAAGCTCTTTTGATATTAATAAAAGTGAGTTGTTAATTGTCTTTTAAGTGTCTGCTACACTTAGTCTGTGCACTCTGCTCCAAAAGGATGGGCATTGTTTTTCTGTTTTTGGCCGGTGTGTGCAACACATATCAAACACAGGTTTGCAGAATTTCATCAACTCTAAGGAGCAATACACATGGCAATTCAGGAATTGCATTAGACCTGCTGGACATTGCACTCTATTTCTTTGAACACAGCATATCCTATTGATTTGCATTTGAAATGCAGCTCAAAGCAGCTTTTTCTGTCATATGCTACATTTTCTGATCAAATGTGAATGTGCTTAAAGGGAAGATGCAGTGTTTGACAAGAACGCCTATCAACAAAATCCCTTCTAAAGGGACTTAGAAAGCATGCTGAAATTAGAGACACATGACCTTCTTGCCTGGCTTTGAGGAACGTACATTTCGTGACTAGAGGAATAAAAGTCCAGCTCCTGCAGCAGAAATTGGCCCACCCTATCTGAGATACAGAGACATCCATCCCCATTGCAATTCTTTCTAATGCTTTGCATATAAACAGATTATGCAGAATGGACTATCAGACCTGGAAATGGCATGTTCATCACTAATAGGATTTGGACATTTTCAAGACAACGCAGGCAGAATGTGAGTGTTTAATGTGGGAGTTAGACCCCAAGTACAAATCATCAACTTACATTTAACATCACATTACAGTTGTGGTTTTTATAACAAGCAATATCTGAAAGGACAATTCATATCACATTTAGATGTTTAGTACAGCAGCAGATGATGTTGAAGATGATTCTCCTATCGATGGGAAACAGACAAAAGCTGTTTGCAGTGTACTAAAGAACATCAGTGTTTGACTGTTGGTCAACAAAGAAAATATTGTCTCGCGTAATTGCAGCTCTGTGATGGCAGACTCCATTTGTGCCACTATGCTTTTGGGAAGAGATTGAATGAGGGAACGTAAAAGGGATTTTCAGCCTTGAGCTGCATATGGTGCACTGATATTGTATACTCTATGTGTGTGACCCTTTGTGGAGTTGACATACTGTGGCAGCTGTTATCAGTGCTAGGAGCAGTCCAATACTAAACATGGGCTCAGATTATTTAATTTCTCTGTACCTCATCCCATCTCTACTGATGGTTTTTATATATTCTAATAACGTGAAATTATATATAGGACTCATTTTTCTTTTAAAGGTTTGAGTCCTGTAAATATGAAATTATACATCCAGCAGGTGGTGCACACAAGATAATTGTTTATGCTGAGTGAGTTGTTTTTACTGCGATGCTGTGAATGGGTTGAAAAGGCAAGTATATTTGATCTCTCGCTGTTTACCTTTATTCCCAACACACAGTGCTGCATAATTCAGAAGAGGGACAAAGCCTGCTCTACTGTCGCTAACATATACTCTCTATCCATGTAGCAAAGCCACATCTGCCCATGATGTAGCAGCAGTGTGTGATGGAAGTGTCTTCACAACCAGTATTGGAGTCAACAGAGGGCCCCTGTGTGAGAACAGTTTTGTACCTCCTTCTTAACTTTTTGCCAATTAAAAACACTTATTGATTGTGCACTGATTTAGAGCTGGATAGAAATCAAATATTTCTATGTAACAGCTGAAGGGTTCCAGCTCCCATCTAAACCACATGTAATATAGATAGGCCCCTAAATCCCAGAAGGCTCTGATCCCACCATTGCATGTTCCTACTGGACAGGCCTGGAAAGGTGCTGGAGTCCTGGAATATATTACTTAGGACTAGAAGCAAAACTTTTTTTTTTCGTTTTGGATAGAGTAAAGGAAAGTTATAACCCGTTACTTTATTTTTTGCTATCTGTGTCCCATCATGGAGATTTACCTTCTGTTCCATAGCCAAAACAGGAAGTGAGAAAATCTCTGCAAATTAAGGGAATTTCATGAAGACCCCAAGGTCACCAGAACTAGTGTTCCCATTGAAAGATTTCCCTTCTTATTACTTTTCTGGAACATTTTGGATTTTCTTTTACTTTCACTTTCAATGATAATGGTAAACAGGACAAATAGAGAAGGCGAACATCCCTAATGGGGCACAGACAGCAATAAAAACTGACAGGGCTTTTCTGAGTATCTCAATCTTATTTGGACAGATGATACTTGACAATGGCACTCTAGCAGAAAGAATGAAGACAGAATTCCTGATCAGCATGCTTATTTTAGGCCTCAAAAAATATTGCAGCCATTGGACCAGCATAAAAACCGGGAAGCTTAGAATTGCTGAAGGAGAGCTCAGCAATGGCTGGTTGCATATGTTCTCAATACAGGCTTCCTTTAAGTTCTTTACAAAGATCTTCCTGACTGCCACTGTGATGCATAGTAACATGCTTTATGTCCTGCCCTAGATGGCATGCAGCTTGATAAATGCCAATGTTTGTTCAAATGTGATTTAAACCAAGTCGCAGTCTGTCCCTGTTCGAAAGCCTTAACAGGTCTACTTTTTTATTCGCTCGTTCCTGTCCATCACCTTAACACATACCCCTTGGGAAGCCTTGGTGTCCATCCTGTCCTTGACCAAAGCCCAGAGGGCTTTGTCATTCTGGCAGCGCGACAAACAATAGCTAAGACCTTGCGCCAGCTGTTTTCTTGATTTTCCTGAGGTTAAACAGAGCCTTATGGTGCACGAGGAGCTCGTGTCCATCCTCATGGATGCCCATATAACGTTTCTGAATGTTTGGTACCCTTGGATAATCTTCAACGTCCAGTTGGGTCTGGATCATTCCCTGCTGTCGATATGACCCTTGTACTGATCAGCTTTGGACTATTGTGATAGGGGGTGCCACATGCATCAAATGAACAGGTCATTCATCATCTCATCATGCTAAGACATATCATCTATGAGGAGCCAGTAAAAAAAAGGGAGGAGTAGTGTTCGGTCATACAGAGAA